GTACCATCATACAAAATGGCTCCCGAATCCGCTTCCGCCATGGCTGGCCGTGCTCGAATGCGCACCGAAGAAACCGAACAAGACCGCATCACCAGAGAAAACTCGGGCTTTGCCGCATTTGAAGCAGACATGCCGAAACTCACCAGCCGATTCAGCTTCTCCCTCAAGGACAACCTTTCGTCATATTTTGGCCGCAAGAACCCTTTCTACAACAACGTCAATCCAGAGACCGACTATGTGTGGATCTTGGACACGACCGCCTACCAGAACCGCCTAGGAAGATGGAATGCCGAGTTCGTCGCTGCATATTTTGTCAAGAACAGTGGCAAGGATCTCTCCAAGATCGTCGCATGGGTCAGTGAGAAGATCGGCTTAGCAGACGACGAGCAAGCCAGGGCAACTGTCGCGCAGAGGCTCCAGCCTTTTGCGGACCAGATTCTTCCCGCACATGCCGTCCAGATTGACCTTCTGGGCATCAACACCAGACTGGGTCCAAGTGGACGCGACGGCATCAGCTCCGATGTCTTGGCTATTCCAGGGAACGACTACAAGGAAGGCCAAGTCAACAAGTTCAAGGCCGTCAACGCCGATGCGACGCCGTTCAACATCACATTCGCCAAACCCAAGGGCTGGGCCATCCTTTCCGATGTGGACGACACTATCAAGAAGACCCTAACATCGTCACCCGTTGGCATTCTCACCACCACTTTCGCCGAAGAGCCAGAGCCTATCAAGGGTATGCCAGAACTGTACAGACACATTGTGCAGAAACTCGACAACCCGCCCTTCTGGTATCTCTCCGCATCACCATACAACCTCTACCCATTCCTCCGCAAGTTCCGCGAACAATACTACCCCAACGGCACCATGATCCTACGCGATGCTAGCTGGATGAACCTTGCCGGCTTCCTCGCAAACTTGACTCAGGGTACCGAGGCCTACAAGGTTGATCGCATCGAGAAGGTCCACGGATGGTTCCCCAAACGCAAGTTCATCCTCATCGGCGACTCGACACAAACAGACCCTGAATCCTACGGTGAAGCCTACCGCAAGTTTGGCAAGAACTGGATCGGCGCTATTTACATCAGGAAAGTCACGGGGGTGGCGGAGATGGACGAGGGCAGGAAGAACGACCCGGAACGATTCGAGAAGGCGTTCAAGGGTGTACCTAAGGATATCTGGTATATCTTCGAGGATGCGCAGGAGCTGTACGCGAAGATCGATGCTTTGCCTAAGATTGAGTAAGAGTTGGATGTCCAGTCTATGAGTATTGTGGGTCACGAAGGAGCTCATCTTGGGCGAGCTTCTTCGTATGGTTCGGGATGAGTGTGGATATTGCTCTTCTGCTGCTTTTTGTTTTACGCGAAGTCATACCAATGGGTCAATTTCAACACACGGAGAAGAACATGCTGGAGTACGGCGTCCCGTTGAATGTTTACTTTACATAGCCAAGCAACACGATACCCAATTCTTTGTTTCATCTCCAACTTTCCTATGCTTTCCTGTTCTTTGGGTTCCCTTACTTTACACGGCAAACACTGACACTGGGAACGATCAAAAGGAAAGGTTATCGTTTGTTCTTGCCTATTTATCGCCATGCCTGATGCTGGCAAGCGGAACTGTGAAGAAACTACAGCATTCAATCTCGAATTCAGATGCACATCATTCACATTGCCACAGTACTGAAGGCTCGAAAACATGTCACCGCACCTGCAACCTCAGCAATGGCAATCTGGACTTGTACACAATCCCGCCGCTCAAAGTCCACAGTGCGACTACATTCTTATCTATCCAGCTGCTCGACATGGCAGCAGGCCCGCTACACCTGCAACAACCCGGACCGATACCCCTATATGTCCTTCTCGTTCTCGTTGTCGGCATCTGCTGCTACTTCTTCTTCATAGGCACTGCCGCAGTACGGCTTTGGTTCTACAAAGGCGCCCTCGGCCCCGCTCCAGAGAAGTTCATCGTGATCAGGAACGAAACTCAAGAAGACGACCACCATGCGGCGCCAATCCACAGCAAACACAACGAGCTCGGCATAAGCGCTGAAACCCTAAGGAAGCGGCGCATGACCGTCTTCACCCACGACTCGTTATCAGCGCCGACAGAAACCATAGCACACAGCACCGCGTTCTCCCCCCGAAACCTGTCTACAGCAACAACAACAGTCAACCTCCAAGACATCTCAGACATTTCAGACCTAAGCTCATTCACAAACCCGCAAACGCGAGCCTACCTAGCCGAAGAACGCCGCATCTCGCGCATGCCCGCCTTCGACGCCGACGACTGCGGAACAGGCGACTACTTCCCAGACATACCCCTTACAAACCGGCCCATCGAAGCCACATCCCTCCATCCCTCCACCCTCACCCCTTCACACTTGGGTCTCACACCCACACCCCGCAGCAACTGGCTCACCATCTCCTCACAATACATCGAATACCACGCCGCGCGCACCCACCTCCTCGCGCGCAACCGCTCCTCCTGCATCCACGTCACCCCCGAGGGCGAACGAGCATGTCGAGAACTACTACAGGAAGTCACGTCTTTCCTCGTGGAAATGTATCCGCACCAATTCCGTTTTCTGACGAAGACGCGCAGGAAGCATGTGCTGAATGAGCTTACGAGAGAGGATTTCGAAATAGAACACGGGTTGGAATGTCATCCGTTGGAGGTAGTTGCTAGGTTGTGTGCGGAGGATTTCATGGTTTGGGGGCGGAGTGAGAGTACGTTGAATTGGTATTTACAGGCTGCTACGACGCTGTTTCCGAGCGGGTATGTTGTTGCGCCGTATATGGGGAAGACGGTTGATGTGGTGGTGGGTGGGGAAGGGATGGGGAAACCACCGATGATACCTTGGTCTGGTGAGTTGCAATTCTCTCTTCTTTCCCAAGCAGTCGCGCAACCCAAGCTAACACACATATCACAGACCTCCCCTCAATCCTCAAACTCACCCTCCCAACACTCTCCCCTTACTCCTCCACCGGCCCCCTATCCCACACGCAAACCTTCATCCAAACCCGGCCCCTCCGCGCCACTCTAGCCTCAACACTCCACATCCCTCGCCCCATGGACTTTTTCGCTGGCCACATAGCTGATCTGCATCCCTCTGAATTGCTCGTGCGTACAGAAACGCAGATGTATGCGCGTTTACCCAAATCAGGTGCTGTCATTGTGACCACGCGGACAAGCACCGAGACGCTGAGTGAGATGAAAGATAGGATGACGATGCGGGAGAAAGAAGCCTTTTTGAAGGAGATCGGGCAGTGGGGAGAGGAGGAGGCGAGGGTGAAAGGGAGGGATTTGTGGATTGGGGTTGTGGAACGGTGTTTGAAAGGTTAGTTCTCCTGAGTTGGGATTGCTGGTTGAATAGAGTAGGCTAACAGATCTGTGGATAGGACAGAAAGCGTTTAGGGACGATGTAACGGTTTATAGTAGGGTTTCGGTGATGGGAGGGATTAAAGGCTGAGGCTGAGACGGACAGTGGGCGACGTTTGGAGCTTGATGCAATGTGCTGTTGAGTATGATATCGCACTAGCGGTAGTCGTATGAGGACGTGTGACTATGCAAGTTATCCTATAGACGACGTACATTCCAAACCAATCACACAACACAAATACGAACCCTCACTGTCATGCGCAACTTCTGCAAGTAGCGAGGTGGCTTCGTATCACAAGCCGCCTCAGTGGTGCGAATTCCAAATCGCTACCACACAACGTCCGCAATAGTGGAGTACGAAAACACATTTCCTCGCGCACCCAAGTCCAAATTGAACACTCTTCAGACACCGCATCTCACACAAACAAAGAGAGATGGCGTATGCAATCCCCTCCGGCTACCTCAGCATGATAGCAGCAACATCCGCCCCTTGGCTTACAGAACATCCGAAATCGAACCTCACCAACCTCCCCATCGAAACCTCATCCAATATGTCCATTCCAACATCCATATTCAACTACACGCCCTCAACCCCAACCTGGACCCCAACCCTCCTCCCCTCCCCACTACCCACACAACCCACCCCCCTCAACCTCACCTGCTCCCCCCAACCCCCCTCCTACGGTCCCCTACCCCCAGTCGAATACACCCCCTACTCCTTCTCCACCTGGCCTCAAATCCGGCACCCCGCTCTCTCCGCCCTCACACCATCACGCTACACACTTTCTTTCCGCGACGCAAACGCTTCGTATGTCGGAGTAACGTATCTGGGACATTACGAACTGCGGGCGTATGATGCGGGGGAGTGTGCGAGGAGGTGTGATGGGTGGGGGGATGATGGGAGTGGTGGTGGTAGAAGTGATGGACTGGAGAAGGAAGGTTTTACGGGATCTTCCACTTCCATTCCATCTGATCAAACTCCCTCATCCCCCATCCTAATAACCGCACCCTCCGAATCACCATCCCCATCCCCCCACCCCCAAATCTGCGCCGGCTTCAACCTCTACTTCGAGCGCTCACCCTCCATCCACCTCGGTCCAAACTGCAGAGACGCAGCCAGCCGGACGATAATAAAATGTGCGCTGTGGGGTGAAGGGGTCGAGGAGGAAAGAGCAACCAACACGGGGTATACGGAGTGGGACTTTAACGTTGAGATTGCGGGGTCGAATGGGTATAGGTTGGGTGGTGAGGAGAAGACGTCGGAGGGTGTGAAGAGTGTGGGCAGGAATGTGGGTTGGAGTGGAGGGTTGATGGCGATTTCGGTGGCTGTTGTGCTGGGATGGTTAGTCGTTGGGTTTTGATGACGAAGACGGCGGTGTGTCAATAGGTGGCCAGGACTTGTAATGCAACACCACGGACCAGACTTAGATTCATCTCCGAACACAGCTGAAGAGGACTCTCGGGTATCATTTGGGTCTATTGTGACCTACGTTCCTATGTACAAATACAATTACTGCTCCCCATTCATCAAAAAGACGCTAGAAGCGCGGGTTATAAGTACCAACCGCTTTTCATGGCCCATATTTCCAAACGCCGTAATGTGCACAAACTTGCTTCTACTAGAAGGCATAGAGACCCCGCATGTTCCAGATCGCTTCATCAATCATGCTGGGGGTCCATTCCGCACCCGTCATCTGCCCAGCGATGCTCTCCCGCTTGTCGCGTGACAGTACTAAGAAGCGCTCGATCAGATCGCCATCAATGACGCTCTTGACCGGCGCGAAGTAGCTGCGGAAGGCGAGATGATCCCGGCCAGACAAAGGCTTATCGTCCGACCGAAGTTGGAGCTCCAGTTGCTGGAACATCTTGTGTTGTCGGCGGGAGTTGAAGGGGATGAGTGCACCAAGAGTGCCTTGGAGACCGGCCCAGAAGATGATGCGCTCACCACCAGACAGGAGAACCGTCTTTTGTATCGAGACAGGAATGTCGTTTGTGAAGTAGTGTGCGATGAGGTCAAGACGGTTCGGTGTACCGCCCAGGTAGCCCTTGTCTACTAGTAGGTCGGAGCCGTCGGGCGATTCGTCTGAAGACTCGGAAACCTTCTGGGGGCAGCGCACGAGCCAGATATTACCGAACTTGTCACCACCGACTGTGGTATCGTAGTCCAGCATTTCTGATGCGGAGGTATGACGGGCGATGGTGTCATCCACAAAAGGAATGAGACGGTTGGGGTGGACTTGGTCCTTGTGTACAACGTAGGTGACGGATTGCGCCTGGTCGGAAACAACAAGTCGACTGCCTTGGGTCTTGAGATCGGTAATACGTGTGGCTACGCAGTTCGGGGCCTGAGCTTTACGGAGGACCGACTTCATGCCACAGTCGTAAAGACACAGGTGACGACCAACACCAGCGATAAGCTTTCCTTTGAAAGCCAGTAGCGCTAGAGGTGGATCGCTGACCTCGGTCTCGTGGAAGAACTCCAACTCGCGGCCAGTGGGGTTAATCTTGTACACCTGTATAGAAGCAGATGTGTATTTGAAGGGGTTGAAGCTCAAGTCTTTAGCAGTACCGACAGCTAGGAATGCTTCGTCACCGCGGCTCTCAAAGAAGACCAAAGCAGCACTGACAAGTGACTGGTTGCCGTTGAGCTCCACTGTGTGGGTGACGGTCTTCTCGCTCACAGGGTCGACAACTTGGATGCAAGAGGCCCAGCTGCCTTGCGCCCTTGGATATCCAAAGTCGATCGCTGGGAGTTCGTCGCCATCGGTTGTGCCGTTTGCCGTATCACCATCGACATCCTCAGTCTTCATGGAGCCGTTGGTGCTGTCGGTCTCTTCCTTCTTTACACCAGCATGTGCTATCAGATGTTGGCGTCTATCGGCGCTGATAGTGTTGTTATCGCTCTCGATCACGTAGAAGACACCCTGGTCGTGCCATCCGACCATCTTCCTGGGGGTGTACTTGAGTGGTATGTTCTCGTAGGTCGTGTTGTCCGTCAAGTCGTTGAAGGTGAAGATTCTGTTTCGTTAGCAACTGTTCATTTTTTTTGTAGTTTTGACAAAAATGAGTTGGTAACTGCTTTCAGTAGGAACAATTGGAAATTTTGTTTCAGCCTCATCTTGATTCGACGGTAGGAAACATATTTTCATCATTGCAGTTGGAGCGAAAGAAATAGGGGGTGCTTACCGTAACTCATTAGCGCTGACACAGATGATTCCCTTGAATTGAGAACCATCAAAGTTCCAAGCGGACTTGAAAGGGATGTAGTTCAAGGGTGTCAGCTGCAATACGCCGGTCCGGGGATGGGTGTAGCCTAGCCATGGCCTTGAGGTCATTGCGAGGATAGCAGGTTCGCCGGCAACAGTCACCTTCGCAAACTTGATAGGCTCGGGGCCAAGGAAGCGCCTCCGGGTGTCACCGATGTCTCCAGTCATCTCATCCAGTACTGATCGAATGTATACACCGCTTCGCAGACCAATGTGCAAGAACTGGCTGTATCCACGGGGCGACTTGTCTGTCATGAGGTTGATGGTCAGGTCGCTCGGCGGTGATGTAAGAGCTTGGACAGAGATGCTTCGTAGGATATTGCCCTCCATGTCAGGACTCAGATTGAATATCCGGACGGTCTGGTCGCTACAGCCAACAGCCAAGAAGAAAGCTCGCACGCTACCCTCTGGGACATCGGGCATCGCCAGGCAGTTGATGGTGCTGTCCAGGGCAATCTCCTCCTCGGCCATGGCAAGTGAACCATCGGAGTCGCACTCAAAGTACAAGATCTGGCCTGAACTCAGCGCAATGGCAACCTGTCGGTTGTTTGTAGCGCAGGCTACAATGGTACGATGGGCTGGAGGTTGCCAATCGGTCAAACTAGCATGTGTCGCGCTCGCATCTTCGTTGGGAAACTGGATGCCCTGAATGTGGCGGATACCCTTGGGATGAATCTGGATGATACAGTCCTCACCAAATTGTTGCACACCGAGCGTGTTTGTATCTGGGAGGAAGCCAGTGTTAGATGCTTCCTCGACATCATCGCCGATTTTCAGAACTAATGTTCTGCTGTGAAGGCACATGACGATGAGGGTGTCAGTCTCGTCTTCGCTGGTGAGCTTTGTAGTCCAAACATCTGACGCGTTTTGCGGCAAAGGCGACTCGATGAGGTCCAAAACCTCCAGCGCATTCCTGGTGGTGCGGAACGAACTTCGGCCTCCTGTACCATTGATCGTGTAAACCTGTGGCGCGTCTTCGAGAGCAGGGTTAGCAACCTCCATACCCATGATCGGGTTCAAACTGGCCATCGACTCTACCGCGGTGAGGTTGACTAGGGCTCGAGGCTTGAAGAAAGGAGGCGCGAAAGCAGTCTCCGGATCGACAGGGAACTGGTCACTCTCGAACACGGGGTCCTCTGTCTCGTCTCCCAACGACTCGAGCTCGTACAGGATGCGGTCTCCAGATTCGCAGGCAGCATACACGAAACCTGCCCTGAGAATGCAGATGCTAGTGACGACAGGAATAGTATCAAAGTACTTGATCTTGATCTTGTCGACTGTGCCATTGGTTGCTTCCACTGTAAGCTTGAAGACGTCGCCATCTTCTGTTTGTAGGAGGTAGAAGAAATCGCCGCCCTTCAGAGAGTACAGGGTACCAGCAACGATCATGCGCTTACGGTTGGGGTCTTCGGTAGCTCCCTCCCGACGCGGAATGGCCAATCGGTGGACGCTTGATTTGTTGTTGAAGATACGGCGGTATGTGATGCTGTCCTCTCCACAGCACAGGACACCGCTTGGAGCGTTTGGACCTCCCGGTACGCGGAAGAGGGTATTGGCAGTCCGATCAACTGGCTCTGACCACTTCCGAACGATGTGGTTCAGACCAAGATCCAGCTCGTAGTATACCAGCTCCTTCTTGATCTCGTCGTACGCTTCGCCGGTAGGATCGGTCTCGGAGTTGGAGTAGTCCACCTCGAGAGTAGCGAACATGGGGTTGTCGTATCCGACATCAAGCCCGATGAGGCAGTACACTAGCGTCTGTGGCTTGTGTGCCTCTAGCGGTGAGGAGATGGCGATGTCCGTCTGGCCACTTCGGGTGAGAATGTAGACAAGCTTGTTCTTCTCCGTCGAGGCGATCATGATAGCGCGCCCTTTCGGGTCGGCTGCCAGATACTCGCCCGGCACTACGCGTCGTATTCCAGACTTGCCGAACGTCTCGAAGTGGACCGTCTTGAAGGTGTGCTCGTCTGGCATGTACTCATACGTGACTAACCGTCCTGAATCGGTGGTTATGACGATATGGTCTGACGGAGTCAGCAGAGGTTCTTGTTAATTGCAATCCAGTCCACCGCGGGCTCAGTGAGCTGGGAGCTCGGAGGTGTCGTGTGCTTTGAAAATCACTATACTGCTTGTAGCGGGGAAGTAGGACTGACATACCTTTGGTTCCGCCCGCGATCCTGAACTTGGCGATGCGGCGAATGATGCCAAAGACATCCTGCGAGTAGAGCTCTTGAAAGCCCTTCTGCCGCCGCGAGACCTCCAGGATAGCTAGCCGTGAGCCGCTCGCTGTGAGAATTTGCTGCTTTCCGTTTCCGAGAAAGTCGCCGGAGATGGCGTCCTGTGTGGCTGTGGGCTGCTTCACCGTCAAGGCGTACAGGGACATGGAGGAGAAGCTCGTCATGATGGGCGGCGGTGGGCGCTGGCCCAGTTACTCTCGTCGCGTCGGGTCTTGAGCGCGTGCAGGAAAAGTTCAAAATTGAGTCGCGACAATCGAAAGTAACGCTCGAGCTTGCAGAGTGTAGTGCGCGCCGGTGTCAGGCAGCGCGGCTGAAGAGTTGCGGGCGCAAGTTGTCGAGGCTCGTGAGAAAGATTTACGCGCAAAGAGGCCAGAGCTTCTCGGCCTAGTGTCGGTCCGCCCTGGCCAATTGGTGGGATGGGCCCCACTAAAATTTCATGTCGCAAAGTCCTCGAAGGCGCATACAGACGACGCTCTCGATAACTGATACAGTCACGACACCCGTATATTCACCATGAAGCGCAAAGTTGGCGCCCTAGAGAAGCTCGAGTCGGACCATGCGGCACTCCGATTCAAGCTGAAGCGAGACCCCCAATCGTACAGAGACGACTTCGAGCAGCAGTACCAGCAGTACCGAACCCTCCTCGACCTGTTCCTTGCCGACCCGAGCACCTCAGACAGTGGTCTGGTTGCGCTGAAGGATCTTATTGAGTTCGTCTCGCATACCTCGGACCTCTATCCCGATGTCGCATCCGAATTCCCTAGGGATCTCGAGCTTCTGCTCACCCACCATGAGGTGCTTGAGTACGACTTGAGGGACAAGATCGTCGGCGCATACTGCTTGCTCAAGCGCAAAGAAGTCATAGACTCGGTCAAACTCCTCAACACACTGTTCCCGCTCCTTGTGGCGACGAACAGCAAGAGTCTGCGACAACTGCTCTACACCAAGATTATCTCAGATCTACGTTCCTCCAACGCGAAGACCGTGAACCACAAGCTCAACAAGTCTATGCAAACGGCACTTTACAAGTACGCAGTATCCTCCCAATGCTTGGCCTTCCCAATTAACCGTCCCAAGTCTCTTAGAATCCGACACCTCCTCGCCGAAGGGTCTCTGGGCCGTGAAGATCACCAGAGAGCTGTGGAAACGACAGATATGGACAGATGCGCGCGCCGTCGAGGTCATGCGACTTGCAGCACTGAGCGACAACGAAAAGACCACCTCGGGCGGCCTCAGGTTCTTCCTCGGTGGTGACCAGGAGCGAGAAGCCGCCGCAGAGGAGAGCAGCGATGACGACAACGATGTAGACATTGGAAAGCTGAAGCACGCGGCCGGAATCAACAAGAAGAGCAAGAAGAAGGCGCGCGACATCAAATCCGCAGCTGCCAGTCTCAAGAAGAAGGCAAAGAAGAAGAACGCACCCCACCCCCTCAACTTCAGTGCGCTACACCTTCTCCACGATCCTCAAGGCTTCGCCGAAACCGTCTTCTCGAAGCACATCCAGAACACCAAGAACAAGCTTGCTCTCGAGACAAAGCTACTGGCACTGCAGCTTGTTACTCGCCTCGTTGGATTACATCAGCTCACAGTCCTTCCGCTATACTCATACTTCTTGAAGCACCTCACTCCTCGGCAAGCCTCAGTCACCACTTACTTGGCGTGCTTAGCGCAAGCGACACATTCATATGTACCGCCAGACGTACTTGAGCCACTTGTGCAGAAGATCGCGAACGAGTTCGTGTCAGAAGCCTCAGCCTCTGAGGTCGCGGCAGCAGGTCTGAATTCCATTCGTGAGATCTGCGCACGTCAGCCATTGGCCATGACAGATACTCTGCTTCAAGACTTGGTCATGGTAAGTTACTCCTTGAGGTCCGATGCCATACTCTATACTAACAGTTATTAGTACCGTAAATCGAAAGACAAGGGTACCATGATGGCCGCCAAAGGTCTCCTCTCCCTCTACCGCGAAGTCGGCGCCGACCTCCTCAAGAAACGCGATCGTGGCAAGGACGCGACAATGGGTATCCGTGCTGGTACTATCAAAGAACGCCGCTATGGTGAAGAAGCTATCGGAGAGGTTGAGGGCATCGAGTTGCTCGAGAAATGGAAGGAAGAGGAGCGTAGAAAGAAGCTCATAGAGGCTGGTCTAGATCCCGACGCAGACAACGGCGACATCGACCTCGACGACGAAGACGACTGGAAGAAGTGGGACGTGGAAAGCGAGGGCGACAGCGACGACTCAGGCGGCTGGATCAACGTCGAAAGCGACGGCGAAGACATCCAAATCAGCGACTCAGAAGACGAAAAGGACAAGAAGGAACGCCCCGCAAAGAAAGCCAAGCTCGACAGCGCCACCCCCGGTCCATCTGACAACAAGGAAAACTCCAAGAGCGTGGAACCAGAAACCAAGTCCCTCTCCAAACTCCTCACAACCACCATCCTCACCCCCGCCGACCTCAAACAACTCCAAGCCCTCCGCGCCTCCAGCACAATAACCTCCACCCTCGCCGGCTCCTCCAAGCGTGCCCAGCTCCTCGCCGCCCGCCACGCCGACGAAGCCATCACCGCCGAGACCATCGAGCTCGCCGCCAAAATCGGCAAGAAGAACACCAAGGAAGAGAAAATCGCTCTTGCCAGGGCCGACCGCGAAACGAACCACACTTCCAAAGCGGCGAAGCACCAGGCCAAGAAGGTGGAAGAGGGCAAGAGTACGACGAACAAGGAGAAGGCGAGGAAGAAGAATTTCCTCATGACGCTGGGTAAGGCGAGGTTTAAGAATAAGCGCAGTTTGGGGGACGTTAAGAGGACGATGCAGGGGCATGTTGAGAGGAAGAAGAGGGGTGGTAAGAGGGGGAATAAGGGAAATTAAGTGGGGTTATGCATACGTTGATGGCATTTATCTTGAGTATTGTTACTTGTATGGGATGGACCGAAAATGGCATGGTCTTTTCATGGGAGACGAACGGAAAAAGGGAAAAGTAACTTGATACCCAGATAGAATATGGATCATGAAACATGAGTTATCCCGTTCCTAAGTAGTCCTAGGACTCGACGTGAAGTACGAAATCATCTCCTTCGACGCCAGTTACACACACTACCCGCTTCTGGTCCGTCTACCATGGCCTTTTCTCCCCACACTACATGGGGAATACACGTACATTCTGTTCAGATGCCTCTCAGCTCCCCAGCAAACACCACCTATCCTTCGTGTACCCTGTCTCTGCGCAGCTCTCACACGCATGCTGTCCAGTCCACTCACTCATCCACAGTCGGTGTCGCATCATCATTCGCTTCAGCTTCCCCGCCTTCACCCGCAACGCGTCGTTCAAAGCGAAATACCGGCCTTCGGGTACCAAAGTCGCTCGAGCTCTCACTGTGGAAGCTGCTTGAAGCATCGCCTTTACCGGAGACTTGGAGTTTGCCGACCTCAGAGCTGAGGGCAGGTCGTATAGGGGCGCTGCGCTTGCTGCGGGAAGAAGAATGCTCGCCGTTGCCATGTTGAGACGAAGCGTCATCCTTGGTAGTTGGTGTGATTGGAGAGCTGGCGGAGCGGGGAGATAGTTTTGTGGGAGTTCTCACGTCTTTGGAAGGAGTAGATGAGCGAGTCGTGTAGTTCATAGTCTTGGGGTTATCCTTGGCCGCCTTTGCCATCTGGTCGAGTGTTTGTGGTGTTCTACGTTGAATAGGTGTGATGAGAATACCCTTGTGTCTTGTTGACGTCGCCCCAGGATCTGAAAGCGACTGTGGTGGGGTTTTGACGATGGTGTCTTCGGTGCCAACCAGTTCCTGGACATGTTGGCGTTGCATTGTAGTACTCGAAAGCACACTATCAGGAGCGACTATCTTTCCATCAGAGCTGCTCGCTATCGGTGATGATGCAGGTACGGCCGCGAACGCGTCCGCAACACTATGCCCTGTACCATCTTGCCACATGTCGGCATCAGCAGAAAGAGCCTGACGCACTGTATGGTCCTTTTCGTTCTGAACCTTCATCGCGGGACTGATGAGAGGCTGTTGGTGGCTCGCCAGACTGACAGCACCATCACCGTTGTTCTTTGTTCTCTTGCGCGAGCTCTGTGATTCAGCCTCCATCCAAGCGCTCATATATTGATTCTGGATCTGGACCATCATCGATATATCATTCTGCAAACCCTTCTTGTCTGCAGATTGATGATAGACTTGTAGCAAGGATGCGATAAGTGAGGTATGCTCAATGAGATGACTAACGAGGAGGTTGGGATCTGGGCCTCGATGTACCGTTGGCGTGTGATTCCTATGTTGGTCAACGTTGCGTACCCTGGACACAGGCGTGGCATTCAATTGAGTAGTCGGACGGCTCGATTGCGGTCGAGCATTCCGCTGGTGTTCTCCGGCTTCATCATCGCCGGTTTCAGCAAGGTCAGCATCGGCGAGCTTCCTCTTCTGTGGTGAAGTTCGTGAGTACTCTTGAATGTGATGCACAGCTCGCCTACGGAGCGAGTTTTCGTTCTGAGAGGGGACCATTGGCAAGACGTATGTATTGGAGGGTCCTTGAACATGATAATGCTGCGCATATGCTGGTTGGTGTTGTGGCGCGTGTTGCGCAAGAACTGGCGCTGAGAGTGGATACTGTACTTCAAAAGGTACATTGAGCGTGTGTCGACCCCATGCTGCGTTCGGGCTGACTTCAGGCGCGGCAGTGATCTTCGCGCTCATCATTCGATAGATATCGTGACTCTGGTGCCCGGTGAATGTGCTGCCGTTCGCAGGCATGGCTGCCAATGCCGGTCTGGAGACACCGTAGCTGTACAGTTCTCTATATCCGTTGCCGATGAACTGATGCGGCTCTGACAGCTTTTTGTGTTTCTGTCTGCGCTTCGGGGCTCGCGTTGCTCGCCTTGGAGGTGATGGATCCTCGTTGACGATGATGGGGTTGTGGCTGCTGCCGCTCATGTTCGCGAAAGGCTTAGGTGCGAGTCTCCGCAAGGCGGAGGAGACAGTTCGATCGGTGGGATCAATTGAGCCTTGTCGTTTCTTCGGCGTGATGATAGTGAGTACCTCTGGAGACTCGCCGGTGCTTGGGGATGTGAGACTGAGATCATGCTCACTAATGTTGCCGGAGAGCGCCATTCTAGGAGGAGTCTCTGGCACTCTGCGATTCTTCTGAGTTTTCTCGACCTTCTTG